AGGAGGAGGAGGATCAAAATCATTACCCTCGATGGCTGTGCAGCTGCAGGCGTGTTTTCTCCCCATGTAGACAAAATAATATCTAATATAATATACTTGGGGCCGTGGGTGGTTGGCGGGTGCTCTGGTGTGGTTTGCTTCTTCATTCCTATAAAAAAAAAAAACTATCGCCCTTCTCCCTCCTCCTCCGTTTATGTGTGTGTGTTACTCTCTTGTAACACATCTAATCTTCGGCACTTATAGTATGACCTTATTGTGTTGCAAGTGCCGTAAAACTTTTACTAAAACTAACTACTTGGGGCCTGCCAGCTTGCAGCAGAGCTTGTCAAACCCATGTTATAATCTGTTTGCTCTTTTGTGTGCATTCGTTTTTGTTATTGTGTGTGTGTGTGGGTTGTTGTTTTTTTGTTTTTTTTGGGGGGGGTTGGTTTTATCATACACACTCGATGGCTGTGCAGTTGCAGGCGTATTTTGTCCCCATCCATGTAATATGTAGACTCATAATAGGCCTATTCAGTATAAACACTTAATGGCCTGCTAGCTTGCAGAATAGCTTATCAGACACACGTGATTTGTTTGTTTGTACTCTTGTATGCACACAGGCTCTCCTCAAAACATTTTTTTCTTTATCATAAATACTTTTATCTAAACAGTGAATCTTGAGAGAGGCTGGTTTTGTTTGTCATGGTTTTAAAGAAAGTTACTATTCGTCACCGTCACGCCTTGTCGTATGGCAAATTAATGCACCGTTTGCAAAAGCAAAAAAAAAACATTGTTTTATTTCGCGCAGAGCATAATACACATATTATAGTGGTGTCGATGGCTATACTGCAGTACTCTGACAAAACGCCTTTACTTATTCACAGTAGTTTTGAGAAATCAGCGATTTTCAGTTTTCTTACAATTGGTGAGCACAGGGAATGACAATTTCTCTTCATGGTGCAAGATCAACCGTTGACGTACTGTGCACGATAGTTTAAATTTCATAAGAAAACGAAAATAAAGTGCTTTCTCGAAACTGCTGTGAATAAGAAAAAGGCGTTTTGTCACAGCACGCCAGTATAGTGGTTAGGCTACCGGACTTGTAATCGGGAGCTTGCGGTTTCGGGGCTTCGAGTCGCCGGCCCCACGTTGTGTCCCCTGGAAAGGCACTTTACACGAATTTTCCTCACTTCACACAGGTGGGAATGGGTACCCGGCTATGATGACTATGAGAAAGCCGAGATACCTGGCCATAGACAGCGAAAGATCGTGTCAGTATGTTTGTGTTTTAGCACTGTGTGCTTATTCCCAAGAAGTTGAAGTTGTTTCAGAATGCTCTAAGATCTGCGGGTGATGGTATAGATTGAGATCTTCTTGTTGAGCGGAGATTTGCGCTATATATTGTTGTTATTGTTGTTGTTGTTGTTGTTGTTGTTGTTGTTGTTGTTGTTGTTGTTGTTGTTGTTATTATTATTATTATTAATACAAAGTTTAATACTCGTATATTACCGGGTTTTTTAAAGAAGAAAAATGAGACTAAAACAAATTGATGTGCCTCCTCAAACTCTACATCATACTTGATTTTCATTTTTTAAAATGTTTATATATATATATATATGTATATATATTGTATGTATATACAATGTATACATACATTTTGCATATTAATGTTGAATGACGGCGACGAATAATGTCTAAAATGTTCTCCTTTCAAATCTGTACCTGCTCTCTAGCAATGTTCTGTCGTCTGCTCCCACCCCCTCACCTCCTTTGGGCTCCTGACTCTTTCTGCAGCCTTTTTTTTTTGTTGCTGCTACTCTTTGGCTCATTCTTACTTCTGTCTTTCAGCCACACCCCTGATTTACACCTGGCCTTCTTGGATAAGGGCGAAAAATCTCGGAGGTTTTGTGTGCAAGTTGCGCACGTTAAAGATCCCTTTATGATGGTCCAAAATCGATAAGAGCTCTTCGGTGGCTGCCCGGGTAAAATTCAAAAGTTCCTCTGTAAATGTTTGAATGTGTGCCGCACGTACGCTCTTATGAACGTATGCAGTTGCGAGCGCCTTAAACGCTTACCATAAAAATAAAAATAAAAATAATGTGAACAGAATCTCCATTATAGCGGT